AACAAAAATCAAGGAGGAAAGGTATTCCAAATGCAAAGTCGATCCACCATGAGACTCAAGAGGAGAAGAGCTAGAACGATAATGATTATTGGTAAAATGGGCCGAACCACAAAGCTCTTGTCAGACCAAAGTTAAATTGACTTCCTGTCATCACTACCTACTCCGGTCGTTGACCCAGTTTGATCCATGAGTGAGGGAACCAAGGAAAGCAAGGAAGAGAGAGAAAGAAAGGGAAAAAAGGGTTCTTCAACTCGGAACCCACCGACACCACTTACGAAGATCGGGTGCGGGTCACGGGGGGAAGCAGTCCCGAAAAAGGCGCCTCCCACTTTCTTCATGCGTCGATCTGATCTCTCTTTTTCCCTTCTCCGACTTGTCCTTTTTGCTTCCTCCCCACTATAATAACTACGACGGATCTGCTAGTTCGTTGGCTAGTCAATTAATTGTTCCAAATCCCGTTCTCAGCCTCTGTCCTCCCCCCACGAAATTTAATCCTCTCGTTCCTCTCTAACTTGCCTTCTCGTGGGCCGTGACTATCTATCTTTCCTTGATCCCCCTCGAACTATGGGCGACCATGTCGCCCATGATTAAGGCTACTTAACCGCGCGTTCCCCTTGTCCTAACTACGGCATTGGTCTCTCATTCCCCATCCCGCCGGCCACAACTTGATTCTGCCCCCCCACGCTCACTGAAAATAGTAGTGGGCACCTGGCGCGCCGTGCAGCTGGTCGGCAGCAGAATGCTGGTTTTGACGCCTAAATTACAGACCGAATCTAGTTAATATATGTGATGGGCTGTGTCCGATTAAACGGTGGAAATGCCTCCAAACAAGGGCGCCGCTGGGCGCAAAAAGGACGCCATTCATTTTGTCAATGCTCGGCCGTCCTCGGAGGGAGAACGATTAAAGATACAGCGTTTGGTTAGGGCCCATGTAGGCAAATGGATTTCCGATCAGACCAAAGATCGCTCCATAGAATCTGAAGCGAATTCGAGCCGTGATGCCTCCCGGGAGAATGCCTCGCGCACTGTTGATCTCGATGGAGATGAGACGATGTTAAACTTATATCCCCCTTCGCTGTCCTGTCGATCCTCAGTTTCATCCTGTTCACCTGAATCAGTTTCCTCGAACAACAGTCTAACGGTTATACAAACCGTCCCTACTAGTGCCTGGGATGCACAGCAGACAATGTCCGTTGTCCCCACTTCTCAGTTATATCTTGACAGCACGGAACACCAGTATGACAACGAATATGAGTGTGATTATGGCCACGATTCGCAGGGGTCAAGTCCAGAAACCTCCAGTCCCCCTGGTCCTATTGAGCATATCGAGACCATCGGTGCGAATTTCATTGATCCTTTTATGACCTACCCCTGGCGTCATTCTCCAGAAATCGCCAACGCATGTCAGGCATATTGTAAGTGAGAAATGAAGCATCACTGATGAACCCTTGTGACGACTGGAGAAACAATTGTTAACAGGTATCTGTAGGTACGTCCGTTCTATGGCCTACCCTTACTCCCGGGGCCAGAAGATCAGATGTTTCGGCCTTGAATTGGTTCCCCTTGATGATGTCTGAGCCGACTTTAATGACAGCCATCACGTTCGGGTCACTCTCGCACCAACGGGTGCAATGGCTGAACCGGTGGATCCCGGACGGCGCATTTCGGGAGCGAGAGCAGCAGCTTCTAAGAGTCTGCGAAATGGAGACCATCGAGCTAATCAATCAGGAAATGAAAAAGCCAGGCCGAGCAATCAGCAACGCGGTCATTTTGAGTGTGATGTGCATGGCACATAATGCAACAGATATTAGTGAAGAACGACAGTTTCGGCACATTCCGTTCACAGCACCCATGCGGCGGTTGCAATGGATCGACGTCTATGGCAGTCTGCGACCAAACCTGGTACATGTCCAAGGTTTGATCTCAATGATTAACCTACGGGGTGGCCTTGAGGCAATTGACCTGCCCGGGTTGGCTCCCGTAGTGTCTCTGTAAGTCGCTCTATGTGATTGAGATATTGATTCTAAGCTGACAATTTGCCCTAGGTCGGATATCGTGACCTCGAGTGCATATCATACGCCTCCAGTCTTTCCTTTCTTTCCGCTTTCAGCGGACCGGAAGAAGGTTCCGCTGCAAGACATGCTCGGGTATACGATGGTTGATGTAGACCGCCATTACGGCCGACTTCGACAGATCGGCTTGACCACAGAGATGATGGAGGTCTTCCACGCTATGGACCTTTACATGAGTATTGTGGATGCTTATCTCAAGGGAAATCAAATCAGAACGGACTACTCTTTGCTTGCCGACCAGCGTAACTTGGTCCAATACACCTTATTATCTCTCCCAGCTGCCAGTCAACTCCCTGGATTCAGTGGCTATCATCAACGCCATGAGATTATCTACGAAGCCTGCCGTCTCGCGGGCTGTATATATGGTTCTGGCGTGGTCTTCCCCCTACCGCCACAAAGCACCCCGCTGGCTAAACTTTCTGGTCTTCTCAAGGGTGTTCTCGAGGTTCCCGACTGCCTGACTGTCTGGGACCAGCCGCAAGCCCGCGTTACCTTTTTATGGGTTTTGACCCTGGGTGGCATCGCGGCCGAGGGCACCGTGGACCGAGACTGGTATGTGGTCACGCTTATGCAGACAGCACGGTATAGTCATATTACCTGCTGGGCCGACCTTCGGGCAATCGTCGTGCTGCTACCCTGGTATGACGCAGCCTGTGACGATGCGGGCAACAACCTCTGGCTGGAAATCGAGAGACTGTCCGCTCGTTCATCGAACTCGAATTGAACGTGTCTGATACCTGTTATGTAGCACTGTTCTAGGAAAATAGTGCATTTAGATTGGGGGGTGTTATCGGCTAGCATTGCCCCTTGGTTTGCTTTCTTATACATTATGTCATCCATCCTCTCTTCCCCCCCCTGATTTTCTCAATTTCTTACACAGCACAAAAGTTGAGGCGGGCTATGATTAATGACAATTATGAGGATCTCAGAAGGAGTACTGGTTTTTCGGTGAGTTGGGTTAGAGATCAATGCTTTGCTCACCTGGGATATTCTCGGTCCTGTATAATATGTGTGGATTATATATACCTAATTAAGTTAATGTTGCATTGGGATGCGTTCACACCACAACATTACAGATATCTTAATTTGATCAAACGAATGCAGTACATACAGAAGCACAACAATGACCGCTTATCCGTTCTCGCTGGTCACACATGATATATATCTCTACCGCGCAAAACCAAATATCAAGTTACGCTACGCTACAACCAATGAATGTTACGATGGACCTGAAATGCCGTATGAGGGCGACTCTGCATGCCGCGCCACGTTCGACGGAGGCCGAAACAACAAGGGTTCCCGCTCCCAGTCCCTACTCGCGATACCATCATGATCATCGGGAACATGGACGTCCCCATTTTCCAGAGCTCCTAGCTCTGGCTTCGTAATATAAATGGTCCTTGCTTTCCACCAAACGAAACCAACCAGTCCGATGCCGACCAAACAGGTCACGAGGGTGAGGATAGAATTTACGGGAATCGGGTTGCGGTGAAATACCTTGAAGGTGAGGGCGTCAAGACCAGCTTGTGCGAAATTGCCCAATCCCGATAGACAGATGATGAGTCCATAGACCTTGCCGAATGTCTGGAAGCCGAATACCTTGGCTGCGTAGTCCGACACAGCGGTGTAGTAGAACGGGCGGTAAATGACGAAGATGGCGATGTTCGTGTATCCGGCTTCAATGCTATGGGGAATGCAACCGAGAACACCAATCACGGTTGCGGTTGATACGAGTACGAGGAGGACAAAGGGGGTACTTGCATTGTCGAGGATAGCGCCAATAAACGGCACAGAAACGAGACCACCAAGGGGGAGAAAGAAATCAAATAGCTCGTTGATCTTGCGGGCTTGTTCGGGAGACCCGAACAGGTATTCATACTGCTGGCGCATTGACGCCACGAAGTAGTTGATTCGGAGCATCTGGAGGACAGTGAAAAGGGTGATGAGGACGAACCATGGGGATCGAACTTGTTGCAGAGCCGAGCAGCCGTGCATTGCGCCCCAGACCCCGCCGGTGGTGTTCTGGGGCTTTGTTGCTGGTGGGGTATCTGGGTCGCCTCCGTTGGCTCTCAGTGCCGGTTCTTCGTTTCTCGAGACGTGGTCAGTCTCTGTTAGGAGATCCTGGATCTTATTGACGATATCTTGGCGCTGGACGCGACGGTCATTTCGTTGCCGTTCACCTTCATTCCTATCTGAGATATCGTCGTCCACTGTGTCGTTCGCTTCGGCGGAGATCTCAGCTTCTGCTTGCTGGACTAGCTCCCCAGCAGTTTTATAAGAAGTTGCTGGCATTATGGTAAGCTGTGCGGCTAGTATAAGTAATGGAACAATGAGATAAGCTAGGAAGAATTTTCCGGTTGTGAACCGGCCGTTTGTGTTCTCGTTAACCAGGCGGAAGATTAAGAACAGTGCGCTGGATGCATCGAATGCGCCTGTAAGCATGGATAGGATCAAACCTGAGCGGGTAGGAAATGTATTCGAAAGATGGAAGGATGAGATGAATATGAACGGCCCGCCCAAAGACAAGAAAAGATACCCTGGGATGTACCCGTCGAAACCGATGCTGCTCGAAAGTCCAAAAAGTGCAGCACCAAGACAAAGAAAACCGCTTCCAATGATACCACACACGCGTGGGCCATAAGTGTCTAGAATAGTTCCGACTGGAAGGGCAGATACATTGGTCGCCACGGCGGCTATGGTGAACATCAGGTTGAGGCTAAGCGTGGTGTGAGTTATAACTCGAGCAGAGCAATTTGCTGACGTACTTACCGAAGTTCCTGTGAGTAGCACACATCTTGGCGTTCATTTAGCTCCTCTTTTGAGCACATATTGTGGTAAACGCCTTCTCGGATTAACACTGGCTTCAGTGCCGCGAAACCAAAGACAACGCCCGCAGCAAGGAAGCAGTAGATTACTGCAGTACAGATCTGCACTATGAAAGATGAGCATCAACTAGAGGTAAAGGGAGGTATTAAGGCCTACAAATCCGTTTTGCCCGACCAACTTCAAACGCGCCCGTTGTCTCTAGTAGCGACGCTTCCTGCTGTTTTACAAGACCATTTTGTGTCACCCTGCTTTCTCCCTCTATGTGACCAGGTCGAGGTGTCTGAGAAGGTACTCTCAGGAGAGAGGTACGCTCGTCTCCCGCATCCTCTACCGATGCCTCATTCCAGCCTGGTCCGGCATAAGGGTTGAAATTCAGGCGCTGCCTGGAGACTGGAAAGCTAAATGTCGAAGGGAACGACGACGATAGCGACTCTTCCGGAAGTTCTTGATATGCCGCATCATCTTCTGAATCGAGTATTGATGATTGGTCTTGGCGACGGATTGTGACAGGATTATGTTCCCATGACTCCAAATAGGAGACTCGAGGTAGGGACATACTAGGTACACTCGGTCTAAACTCAGAAAAGAATGACAGCAAGGGCTTCGGTCAGGGAATACCTTGCCCGACTTCCCTTTTTCGGGGCGGTATTACAAGGAGGTCAAATGCTAGCTCAAGGAGGGAATAGTGCTCCTTGCAGCATCCAAGCCGCTATACGAGCTGGCCAGAGAAATCAAAGCTAAGCACTGTTCAAGCAGACTGAAACAATAGATCTGATAGGATAAAATAAAACCGGTTAAAAAGTACTACTCGAAAGGAGTGAAGGATCACGACACAGCGTTTTAAGGGGCTCAATGGTGTCCAGAGCAGGAAAGATGGAAGCTGTGGGTAAGAGGAGGTGGTCATGATGATCATATCGATGATGATGATGATCTTCAGCGTGACCTTCTTCTTTGGTACTAGCTCCAATAACTCGAAACCGGATCCATGAGATCAGCACATGATCCCGCGCGGCCCACGTGACGTCTATGCAGGGCTTGTCGTGCCAAGAAATGGCAACTACCTCCAACTGCTTCTTGGCACCACCGAGTGCACACTGCACACATGGCCGATTCCCACGCCGGTGGGCCCCTTTGGATCCTCCGGTAGTGGTACTCATCTTTATTCGAAGAGCCCTGCCACAATCGACAGGACCATGCCGAACTGAGTATGATTCGCCCGGGTGCTTCAGCCAGGTACCAACATTCGGACCTTATACTACTAATACTATTCCCAAACAATACATCAAAGCCGGCACCAGATGGACGGGAAAAAATAAGGGCACTGACTCGCCGGTGGGCCATCATTCCCTAGCTGACTCGCACAGTCCCTAGTGTGTCAGCTTAGTCTGATGGAAGAAGGGCTGGACCATGATCTCTTCATGTTGAGCATCCAACAATTAGCCGATCTAGCGGCAGCAAGCAATTTCTTGTATAAACATCGCCGAGATTTAGTTTTCCTTGTCCAGGTAACGATGGAAACTCATATCAGCGTCGGTACGAGAAATGTCTCTGATAAAGTTCACCTGTCTCGTACTAGCTATGAGGTTTGGATGGAACTAGCGCACAAGGCGGCATACCCCATCAATGGTGTACGAACGATGAACATGTCTAGTGGTCCCCTGAATTTCATACATTACAATAGTGCATTAGGAACAACTGCGTTGTGCAAGTCCAAGAAAAACCGGCGAACTTACGCCGGCTTACTGGCTGCAGATCGTAAAAGTTCGAACCCACCGATGTTAATCTATGTGGAGGATGAGCCAGTGGTCGAAACACACGGATTACGAACATTCAGGGTTCGGCCTATAAGGTCGCCATGGTTCAATGCCGCCACAAATCAAATGGGGAAAGAAAAAAAAGAAAAAAGAAAAAAGTAAAAAGGAAAAAAAAGCTATGGTCCATGCATGTGAGCACCAGTTGGATGGCTCACCCACGACTTGAAACCAGGCCCGCTGGATGCAATGGGCAACTGTGGAAAACTGAAGGATGAATTAAACAATTCTGGAAACTCCGTGCTCCACCACGAGATATAGTGAAGCTACGGACGCTATCCGAAAGTCTCAGGTGGCCATGATAGGCATGGGCCGTTCGACGATGCCTGGGGCTATCAGCCCAACTGAGTTAAGCGTGAATAACTGTTCCAACAACCATCTCCAAGGGTCGAAGATTGAATGGGCCCTAAGCAAAAGGGACTGCAGTTTGAAATGCCGTAACGTTGTTCATTAACCTAAAATAAATTCTCCGGCACGCAATGCTTTCCCAGTTTAATACTGAGACCTTCTCCTTTTGGAAGGGATCAGAGGTGGGCGTGCCAAACGGCCAGGCACTTCATCGGTGGAAGACTATAGAGGGGCCCGGCTCTTTCCAGTCCATTGCGGGCATTTCATCCAGAGACGATCATCGGCACGTTGCGGATTATCATCAGCGTTGCTGGCACACAGGGTCTCTGGCCTATACCTACGAGTAACCGGGGAGACCAGCAGCTGTAGTGATGTTCACATTTACTCCAAATTAGCGCCAAGGACGACCTTCTGTAACTCCTCCTTAAGTCTGTCCATCGACAATCTGTTACATTAGTTTTCTCTTTCCTTTTATTGTCCTCTCCTTATTGTGGCCTAGTACGGTGGCAATCGCCTCCACCGTAGAGGAACCGTCCCTGCGTCGGGCCTTGAACCGTTCAACATTAATTTCGGATTGTCCAGTACGACTTATCACGATAACTTGTCACTGACGCGGTCACGTTTAGCCTCACCTTAGCGTCCGTGACCTTTCCCACTCCTTCTCCTCTCTGCTTATGCCCGCTTTATATGACTCGTTGTCCGTTGCCTTCCCCGGCGTTGATGTTCTCTCTGCTGATTCATGGCTGTTGCGGGTATCTCTAGCCGAGAAACAGCTTTGAGTATATCGTAATGAGGGGATGGTGAGTCCGGAGGCAACCAATCTTGCTCCTTTTCGCCGCGCAAGCCGCTTGTCTAACGCTTGCACTCTGCTTACAGTCTTACATGTCGCCAGCGCCATCTGAAATGTAACCCATTCACCTGCCTCAACCGTCCAGAACCCTAACATTACGCTTTAGGTGACAAGACTGGGGCCGTGTGCTTACGTTGTCAACGATCGGGCCGGCAGTGCATTCCTGCACCATCGAAACCAGAGGAGGTTACTTTTCGACACGGCCAGAATCCATCCTTGCGGCCTAAAGGGCCTCCTCGTTATGGAGAAAGCGACTTAGCATTTCCAGATGATCAAATCTGGGTTAATACACCCCCTGAAGGTGCGTTTTATCTTCAGGTTAATGTTGCAGATGGTGGGAGGCCGACGCATACTAACCGCCCCGCAGTTGCTTTTGAAGACGAGACAGACCGTACAGCGGCCGACTACCACGTTGTGCAATCTGGAGCGTCTTCATTGTACCTGAAGAAAGCCTCTGAACGTCGATTGTCAACCTCGGTGTCGACGTTGCCACCATCAACATCTTCCCTCCTGTCCCCTGCTCTTTCTCCGGGAGGTCCGGAGTCGTTCCAATCGCCGCCTGATTTCCCCCACGGCACGATCAATAACCTGCTGCCGGCAGACACTATGGGAGATCACCAGAAACTGGGCAACCTGAATGAGGCCTTTCTCCTTCGACACTTCCGAAGAACCATCGGTGCATGGGTGCTGAACACTTCTGCCGAGCTAGAAATAGGAGCATCGCTAATGTTGGTTATATATGCAGATGGATGTATGCGACCATGAGAGGCACTTCTCAGTGGATGTGGTCGAACGAGCGCCTTCGTCCTCCCTCCTGTTGTATGCCTGCTTAGCTACCGCCGCACGTCACCTCTCTCAAACGAACAACTCAGTCCCGCCAAACGCTGCAGATCAATACCACGAGCAATGCATTGCAATTCTACTGCCCGTGGTGGAAAACACTGACTTTAAAATTAACATCGAGGTACTTCTCGCCTCGACAGTGATACTACGCTGTTTTGAACAACTTTCTTGTGGGTGAATACCAGATGTATCTTGAGTGAGTGTAGTGTTTACTGAAAAATTCCGCAGCTTGTGCCCTGTCGCAAGACCTACAACGACACCTCTTGGCTGGTTCAGTGTACATCGGTTCTCACGTCGATTGTGCGTTTTCTGGTGGTCTTGCAGAGGCGTCGTTCTGGGCCTTTGTGATGCAGGATGTGCAGTTCGCATTGGCGACCCGAAGCCCTCTGCGTTTGACCATTGGCCCTTTCGAAGAAAGGCTACGCCTCGCCTGGGAATACTGTAGCGCCAAAACCGACCGGGATTGGGCCCATCGAGCTCTATGGCTGCTAGCCCAGACTATTAACTACTGCTATGAACCAAGTAGCCCGGCTCACTTGAGTTCCGTTCTTTGGGACGTCCTGAAAAAGAAGATTTGTGATTGGGAGATGCGACGGCCAGATAGCTTCCGGCCATTACATTTCTCTCCTGCCACTACAAGCCTTGGGAGACCCTTTCCTGTTGTTTGGTTTACCAGCGCATCACACGGTATGTTCTCGGTCTATCATCGCCTGTATACAGTTACATTGACAGCTAATGCTCAAGCAGCTACCGCAGCGCAACAGATATGCATGGCCAAAGCTTTGATACATGAGTATGAGTTGAGAACTCATCAGTTCGCGGCTAGCCCAAATCAAGGTCGCAAGTTAATCGAGGTTGTTCTAGAACTCCACAACTGAAAACATATTACTAACTATAAACATAGAATGCTATCGTGAGAAACCTGAATATCGTTTTAGGCATTTCCCTTTCGGCCGACGATGACCCTCCCGTTCGCATCATGGCCTGCCATGCGCTGTCTGCTTGTAAGTGCATTACGACAAACCTTGGATCCCATTGCGTTGTGGTACCCTTTGTTAGAAGGCCGCTACTCAACACTTCAGGGGTCATACGCTGTTTAGTCGCTAGTGTACTAACCCATCAATAGGCGGCTCCTGGATACGTGACCCACTAGCGCAAGCGTGTCTTTTAGACCTACTTCGACGGACAGAAGCAGAGAATGGATGGCCATGGACATCTCTGGCGCAAGCACTAAGTCAAAGCTGGCGTATGACGGCGGAATAGAACGGGCTGCCATGGTACACATTTTACGTCAAGCGCGCCCTTCCACACATACACTTTCCTCTTCCTGTCCTATATAGCTAGCGCACTCAGACAGAGTTACATGTAATGTCTACACAATTCTTCCCAACAGACGAGTCTAGTGAGGCAAGATCTACCGAGCCTAAAATCCACACGACGACAAGCGGGATAGACCCAAGCTAAACTATTTGCTCTAGGGCGATATCGGGTTCTCGCCGTTGCTTCGCATCCCCACCCTCGTGGGAGCCGTGTGGGGACACTTCCATATGCCGCAATGCAGATAAGCCTTAGCCCAGCTGAGTCCGAAGCAGTACTTTGGAAGTACTACATAGTACATGGTCTATTCTTGTGGAGCTTTGGTTCGTTTTCTTCGGCGGCCCCAGCCGCCGGGCTTATTGTGCATCTAGGCTGCGACATGGTAGCTTATCTGGGCCAAGGACACGCGTGGGTTCGGTTTTGTTATGTACCTAGAAAAGGTCCCCTTACGTATGCGATTACCGAAAGTAGTCAACCGATAGAGAAGCAGAAGGATCGATACTTTCCCACACCCAAGGGGCTTATGGCTCCGGAGGCTCAAAACCCCCCACACAAATATAGAAAGTGAGGTCTTACCCGGCGTTGCCGAGGCTTCTTCAGGTATAACAGGCTCTTCTATAAGGCTCTACTAACCATATACTTCATAGCGTGGATTCTACCCCCTTTACACCCCCTTTACGAACACATCTGATATGATATGACCAACCTTGACGATAATAGCCCGCTTCAACGTCATATTCTGCATCCATTCATGTAGCTGCTAAACTAGTCTGCAGAGACCAACCGATAGCAGTATGAAGCATTACGAAGCATCATGTAACCATCCAGGACCGGATCGGCAACACGTCATGTCCAGCTATACTGGCTAATCCCTAAGGGTGGTATACATGATATACCCTCTCCTTCCTTGCCACTCCATTCTCGGTAACTAATTACGAAGGGTACATACATGAGCGAAGTGCATCCTAATCGTCGAAACCCAATAGGAGGAAAACACAAAGACGAGCAGGAGCCTTTCGCCTGTACCCTGAGCAAAAGCAAACCCCCCACATACCGAAGCTCCTTCGTATGCGCCACATCATCTCCAGTACGGATCCCCGGAATGTGCTCCGGCGCTTTTGTGAATAATTATCCAAGCTCCGAAAGGATGACAGGCTGCATCGGATCTAGATCCGCGACCACCCTGTCGATGAATATACTTCCACTGCCGGTGCCGAAATACCTTAAACCTTATATATTACATGAACTTAATTTTGTTTTTCCTGCCCCGGGTTTGTTTTCCGCCAAATCCGGTGCTCGGGTCGTTTCACCATCGACGTTTTGACTTTCCTATAACACACCTTATTATGAGTTGCAGGTAATTGGAGTGATCAAGATAATCTCCATGGTATGGAGTACACTCCATTCGATCGTATACTTTTGCCCTACATCACCGTCAACAATCTGGATCACCAACCGGAATGCCCGGTACCAATAGGAAAAAGGACAACCATATCCAAGTGGAGTATCAATACCACCACCACCTACCTACTCCAACTCATTAAACAACCTCGTAAGCATTCCCATACCCCCACGCCATCGTTCCAACCAACATACATCCGAGTAATACCCGGCTCACGGGACCTTAGACTAAAACCTTAGTCCACAACCCGAGTCCGAGTTTCAACACTAAGATAATCAAACTGTGGACAAAATTCAGGGTCAGGTCCCCACACGCTACGAAACAGAAACCCAAATCCGAAAAAAGCAAAATGTGAAAACAGGCTCACCCTAAATCCTTCTCTTCCTTGTTTTAATCTAGTCCGAACCGTGGTTGCAGGGTAGCTGGACCCTGTTCAAGGGTAGCCCCGACACTGACTGAGATGGCCAAGAACTCCAAGTATCTAGCTAGATGATTGTCTCAATGAGCTATTTTCCTGCGATAATAAAATCGTAAGTTGACTAATCATTATCAATAATAGATTACTATTCTCTTCCTCAATTATTTTTTAACCATTAGCTAAGTAATTAAGTAATATCTCACAAAACAAATTAAACATATAATTATAGAGTATACTAAACTAAATCTATATACCGAGACGACCCGTTCTACTCCAACTCTATGTGGCGGTCACGTGCTCTTGGGGTTATGGCCAACACCGTCGGGGAATATAATTCCCCGCTGACTAAGTCCGAGAGGGATGTCATTGGTTGGTGGGAAAATAGGATAAGGTTTGTGGTTACGTGTATTTTGGGTTTGAGTTTGGGGCGAATGCTTTTTTTTACCTTTCTTCTCTTAGTTTCTGCGTTTCTTTTATTTTAATCTTGACTTTATTTTGGTGGGTTCGGGTTTAATACCCTGGTTCATTTAGTGCCGTTGTTTCATCGGGGTAATCTTCATTTAGGTTAGGGGTTTAGTATTAGGTTATTTAGTTTGGTTTGGTTTGGTTGTTTGTTTGTTTGTTTGTTCTGTAGTTCATTGTGGGATGTATGTCCTAATTTTCGTTTGATGTTTTCGGGTTATACATTGACAGGAGAAGAGGGTATCATATCAAGAGCGTATGGATGTATGTACACAGTGGGAAGCATGGTTCACCGAGGGAGAAATAGAGATATTTGTGCCAATCAACAAGCTCCACATGCCGTGCAAGACACGGAGCACGCGGGGGGGACGGGAGGTGTAGAACCACCCACCGCCCGCGTCTGAGTCGCAAAGAGTATATATAGACGACGACGAAGACTGACACGCCACCGAGGTTGATACGAGTGTATCCACATCAATAATATCCGGTCCCCTCAGTTGGCAGAGGCAGGTTGAAGAACCCGTCTCCCAGCATATTCTCCAGCGCATACAGGTTCTCGGGCTCAAACCCCACCTGCATTCCTAACTCCGGCACGAAGAAACCCTGCACCGGCCACGGCATCGCCATGCTGCTGTTTACCGAGGGGTCTGGGTATCCTGAGGCGGGAATATCCTGGTAGGTTGACGTCAAGGGGGGATAGAATTGCCGGGTGGGAGCTGGGTACTGGGCCCAGGGGTCTGAATCCGTCGTTGCCGGGGCAGGACTTGGGCCTAGTGAAGGTTGTGGTTGCGATACAAGGTCTGAAGAGGGGGTTTGGCTGACCGGCCCGGAGGCTGGGGGAGTGTAGTCGGCGGTCGATGGAGGACATAGGCCCTGGCCTGAGCTAGGGCGGTTCTGTGGTTCGCCCATGGCAACTTCGCTCAAAAGGTGGAGAGGAGTCGTGCCCGTGTTCTTCTAGAGCCATCAGCTATGTTACGGGAGACTTCGGGCAGGCATAGCGAATACATCGAACGAGAAAAACAGGGTCCAACTCACCTTTTGGTATTTCTCTGCGGCTGATTGAAAGGCAGCCTTCTCATTGCCACAGTTCATTGGGCGCAGTCCACCACTGAAAGCATCTCTCATAGCTAGCCCATGGTCCTTGCGCTTTAGAAACCACCCACGAAGCATGCTCAATACCACCGAGAACTTGGCTGGGGTCCGGCCCCCGGCCTGCTCGCCGGCCCTGGTGTAGTGCTCGATCACGCGGTCGAGGTAGTATTCAGTCTTTAGACTAGCGACATCGATCACCTGGCCGATACGTGTTTCCGGTGAGGAGACAATAGAGTAAAGTTTTATCAATGCAACAACCGTAAAAGATGTCCGAGCCAGGGCAAAAACGGGCAGAGAGATGAGATCCCTGATGTCAACGGAGCAGATGGTATCTATAGCTTGATGAATGGAGGTAAGACAGGTGCTCAATGCATTCATATGGGCGGCGCTTGTCGGGCTGGAATGGTCGTCGCCTGGCGACTTCTGATCCTCGCTGTAATCCACGTGCATGGCACCCTCGTGAAGATAGAGGTTGACGATATATTCAGCCTGCGTAAATATGGCTGGTCGCTCGTCAGCAAAAGACATAGGGGGAGGACGCCGTGCGAACTTACGAAAGTCACTCGGTCCTCGCTCTCTCCGGAGCTGCTCGAGCTGTTTTTCAAACACTTTGAGCGTGTACTGAACCTTGGGCTCCGAGAATGCAACAATGGACCCAGTATCGTCAGGGCAGAACTGCTGATGAATCTCCTCGATTATATGCACTAACTTGGCCCATTGTATCATCACCTTGTCCGAGGGTAATGCATCGGATGACTTCTCCAGTATTTCTATGCACTCATCCATATACGGAGTCCAGCGTACTAGAAGGGTGCGTCGCAAGGAGGCAGCAACCCTACAGATATTAGAAGCCATTCCTTACAGCCAGTCTCGAAGGGGGCTGCTTACTGCACAGCTAGAAAATAACAACCTAGCCACGCCCGTCTAGCCTCCGCCGAATCAGGGTCCTGCGAAGGCGACTTTTTCAATATAAGGTCTTTGACCAAGGTCCATGGACGGTTCTTTGGCATCGGCCTACGGTACATCCCAATATCCATAGCTATTGTCACAGCCATATGAGTCAACTGGTAAAACTTTAGCTCTTCAAAGTGGTCCGGCGGGATATACCAGTTGCAGGTCACGAGAAGTCCCTGAATTAAATCCAGTGACTTTTCGCCTTTAACAACGACACGTTCCGCAATGGCCCTGTAGAAGTCTTCAATAAGTGGAATCTGTATTTCAGGCTGGATAGGCCCCACGGCTGTAGCGATAATGGCATGGAGTAACACCGGTTTGGTCTTCCGGATATCTGCCATCGTGGTCCCAGGAGGAAACACCACCATCGGGATATGGGGCGCCATATGTTCCACATATCTGGCGAAAGCTTCCGATGCAACGGCCGCACTCACTAGGCCTCGGTCAATCACATCGACGGGCTCGTTTGCTACGCTTGGTTTCGGCGCTGTGGTATCTGAGCCGGAGCTTGGACGAGTATGCCACTGCCGAGACGTATTATCTAAGATCTGCTCTGTAACAGGGCTTGGAGCACGATAGAATGAGGGTGCTGCCAGACCACTGTCCCTTGAGTCCTTGATCTCCCCACTATGTCGCCGTTTGTTCCCTGCCAGACCGGTGGGGGAGCCCAGAGGTACAGAACCAGTCGATGTGCTATGAGTTGGTCCCAACCATCGTCTTCCAGTATGCTCCTCACGGGGCGGGCCTGGATATGCTGCCTGTAGCGTCGGTCCACTGCCCTGAGAGGCCTGTAGGCTTGCCGTCAGCGCGTCAATCTTCCGCTCCAGTTCCGCGACGCGACTATCCGTCTTCTTTTGGCGTCGACGCGTTGGGACCGTAACGACACAGGATCTTCCAGCCTTGGCACACCGTTTACAGGATGCGTTCGGGTTGGTCATGTCAGGTTCGCACCGGACTTTCAATTGCCGACATGATTCACATGCACGTGGTCGTTTCAGCTCGGAGTAAGGGTCGTTTGGGTCGATCGATTCGAGCCTCTGTGTACCACCAATGATGCTTCCGGGGCTCGATTGGTATAGAGCATGAGTGGTCGGAGGTTGCGTGGCCGAGGTGCCGTAGTAGCTGGGGCCGCTAGAGGTCGATGTCGCAGAATGTAGCTGTTCATTCGGTGAGATCTGGGAAGGAGGGTCAGGATAGTCATTCGTCGGATGGGAAGACAGAGTAGCGGGATCGGCTTGTCGAGTGGCAGGTGACGGAAGGTAAGCATGGTTCGTTCCGACTCCCTCTGGAGGGCTGTTATCGCTGCCCGGACGCAGGCGCGGATCGATCTCCATCAGTTGCGGGGACTGGAGTGGATATGTCACCGTCAGCACGTCGGCCTCTTGACTGCAGCAACATGATGATGAGGCGTGCGGTGAGGATTGTTCTCGAAACCAGCAGGCGACGCAGAAGGACAGGGATTTGCGAAGGTAGATCAACCGGAACAGACAGTAATACGACTTACCTGAGAGCAGTTAGACTGTGGAACGATGTATGTCTGTTGATGGAGCTGCTGGCGTGCAGTCGGCAGAATCGGCGGCCGATGACCGACAGCGGTTGATCGGTTCCCACTAGTCTGTTTTGGGCTGCTCCCACACTATGCCCGAATGATGTAAGTGCTAGGTATTCGGTACCTAGTACTACAGTAACACCGCCTTATGAGAATTAACTCTACATCCTATTCTCACCTACAAATTACGCGCAGATCTACCTGTCATCGGCTGTGGACTGCGAACTGCGCACTGCACGAAGGATGTGTCCATACCGCCGTAGGATATAGAGATATGGATCTGAGATAACAAGTCGAAAGTGAAGAAGCATATCATGGTATAGAGTAAAATGCCATCTGTAGATTGCCAAAAAGGTAGATATAAATCAACGCCCGCTCGAACGGTTGCGAAAGAGATATCCAGCATGGAATTCGAGTCATAAACCAACCAACGCCATACTGCCAACTCAGGGTGATGAGAGGAGAAGAGTCCGCGGGGACATAGGTAAAAAGATACGAAACAGCTAGAGAGTGAGAAACCAGAAAGCAAGCCTATCCAAATCGCTCAGGACACTTTATGTACCGGGCACTCCTTCTTTCGCTCAAACCATTCAACGATGCACCTTTTATGGAACTTGCAGAGACATTCCAGTCGGACCAACGGCTGGCCAACTTCATACTCCTCCATGCAAATAGTGCACTCCTGCGCACTGCCATCATGCCCAAGGCAATCCTTCTCGGTAGCCGTGTAGGCGAGCATTCGCACAGGTGTTGAAGACTGCGCAATGGGACTGCTACTGTGGGAGGACGAGCGCGCTCGGGAACCATGATTTTCGATGCACTGTCTAATATGTGCCTCCCGAGCATCATCGTTCCCGTTCGCTCCCAAAGGCGGGAAAACATGGTCACAAATAGGGCAAAGATCTCGCTCATCCACACGGCGATGGGGAGTAGAGATAGGTAGACGTATCTCTTGGTCGGGAGATGTAGCGAACGACGGTCCAGCCGATATCATCGCGCTGCCTGGTGCCAGTGGAAGAGGCCGTCCCGATGCAATCGTAGACGGGGCAAATCGAGCTGCTGATAAAGAACCGTACTCCATTGGCCGTTCTTGGAAACGCGATCCTAAGGAACCCCCGAAGCCACCGTACAAATGATAGTCACCTGACCCCACTGTCCTGCGGGCTGAGCGAGTAGAGAAATTGTCGGGCTACAATATAATTATGATCAATTAGTCACGGAAACATTAACCGATACAAAGAAGGTTAAGCAACTTACGATCGAGGCGTACGGTGGATGGCGGGTGGGTGATGATAGAGAATGGTAAGGACGATGACGGGATTGGTTGACTGATGCACTAAAACCACCCCGTATATAATCCACACCTGACTGTGGCTCGCCTGGAGCCCGAATGGTTGTATATCCACGCGGTGGTTCTGGGTTCGGGTCCGGAACACAAGGGTTGCATAAGCGCACCTCCTCGCCACCTCCAAGAGCCGGGTTAAGGGCTGTGGGTGATTGGGCCGAGTCACTTCCTTCTAGATCAATGAGCGGCGCTACACGTGGAGGCATCAGCGTGGATGCACGGGAACGATTGGTGTCTGGCGGATGGACAATAAATTGTCTCGGAATGGTGATCCGGTGAGGTGAACATGACGCACACACCACCCGTCCACATTTGCGACAGTGATGTTTCCTGTACCAGAAACTGAAGGGTGTTCGACAGATCGGACAACTCGTTACCTCCGAGTCAGGCTGCCACCGCGGCCGTATATATTCTAGATAATCATTTCCCGCTCGTGACCAGGAGGTTCGGCGGTCATTTGACCGCTGAGGACGATGGTCCGGTGGCGAAAATGACAAGTCTATAGGCGTGGAGTAGGACGCACCAGGCGCAGATCTTTCGGGTCGCATAGACGACGTCGCGCTGGGAATAGACCTGCTATCCATTTGTGCTGTCATCCGCCCTCCCGTTTCAGTCGCACTGCCGGATACCGACTGTCTCGACCAAACATCTCCCTCCGCATTGACTAATCTTCTTTTCCGATCCGGGCCAGTTACAGTGGAGCGCCTTCTCCCAGAGCGTCTGTCAAAAGCAGGACCAGCCTCGCTTGTCATGGCGGTATCGGAGGTCGCATGGGGTCTGAATCGATGCCCCAGGGCGGAATATGTGGTAGAAGCACCTACTGGTGCAGAAGCCGGGACAGAACTTGACGACGACGACATCAACCAAGGATGTTGAATGGAAAACGAATTCAACGTTGGCTGTTTTACTATCGCTGGAGAAATCAACCTCCGCCGTTTAGATGACGGGCCGTCATGGACTGGGTGGCGCGACGATTCCAGGGCGAAGAACACGAAAGTACAGAAGTAACGAAGGCGGACACGAACACTTAGAGAGATTGGTTTCGTTGAAGGGAATAGAATGCAGGGGCGAGAAAAAAAAGGGACGACAAGGGGTGACCGAGTCAGTACTCAAGGGCTCTTATCAAGTACGGTTCAGGGCGGAGAGGGAGTTTCTTAAGATTCGGAGTTGATGGCACTAATAACAGTCAAAAGTAAAAGTGACTCGAGGCGTGGGTGTCTCGTGACACCACAAATACAGACGCTAGAGGGAGAAATAAAGAAGAAGGAACGAGAATTGCACAATGAATTTACGCTGAAAAGGAATACGAAGTGAAGACAAAAGAGAAAAGGTGCAGGAAGAAAAGAGGGTGTGAGAGTCAAGGTTAGTTGGCAAGTGTGCCTTACGATTAAACCGCCTCTCCTATTATTCTGCGCCGCGGGGCAACTGAAAAAAGTGGCGGTCCAACTTTCTAAGGCACCAAATACCCACGAGACTCCAACGCCGTGTGACCTCCGAAAGAATTTTTTTAATCACGGGTGAAAGCTTTTTATAAATATGCTGCAAATTTTTCAACCTCTAGGGTCAGATGCCCCTTGCTGAGGTAAAGAAGAACCTTCCACTTCTCAAGGCAGCTCTATGGGTTCTCTGCGAAACTTTGATACCGATAGCGTTTGCCACTTCGGCTTATCATAACCGATACTGATCCACTTTGGCTTCTGGATGGATAACCCATGATAACGAATTCGATTCAACCTCGTAAATTTTGGGGCTATATAACTAGAAAGGACTATCCATCATGCCAGTCGAGCTGACCAACCCTAATCTCACGGTAGTTAAAAAGAACTATTCCCGAATACTTCATACATGAATTGAACGCTCCACAATATACAAGACGAAGAGCTTCTGAATTAGAAGGCTTTTCCCGATCACGATTAGCTGTTTTTACAGGCACAATGGAATGCCATCGAATTAAAGATAGAGGAAGTAGGGCAGTAGAAAAAAATAAAAAGAGAAAAATAAAAAATGGTAGGACAAGCAGGTATTTTGCAGGTCGTGATGTATAGGGGGGGGGATCCAAACGTATTTCAGAACGCCAGGTACAGCTCTTTTCCGATGACACAAAACGAATAATAGTAAAGGAAATTCGTCACCTTGATATCAAGTACAAATAGGACAGCGCAAGATATACACGCTGTCAGATCGACGGATATATCGTTAGGATAGAAGTGCAACTTGGTGCACAAAAGACAGTGCTTCACTTGGAGCACAGGGCTTAATGACTTCCGTCGGGATGGTGTGGCTCATCAACGAGCTCGGCGGCACTACCAGTGAAAGACGGTTCATCCGGACTCGCTTCATGAATATAGTCCCGGGTGCGATGCTGGGCAACGTATCCCATGCTCGAGGGCCGCTCGGTACCGTTCCCGTGCTGCCGGCTTGAGGACGTGGACGCGGTTGTTGAGGCTATAGAGAAGTTGCGATCCCGTGAAGGGGAACTGGCAGCACTGAACGGCAATCGGCCAGTACCTGATGAGGAAGGATGCAACTGGGGGGCCGGGTAATGGGCCTCCTCCGAAACAGCTTTAGTAACAACGGGAAGAGATCTATGAGATGCAGTGTCATCTTCTATAGCTAACGACCGAGAATCACGCCGAGAAGGTCGCGAAGGCTGTGGGGCTCCTGAAGGTGAGCTATGTTGGGAGCCTATGCGACTGGGCAGTTCAATAGCGCCGCCGGACTCCACCTGAGGCAGGCTTATCAGCGCCTCGCCGGTTCGGTTGTTGTCATCGCTATCTGTATCTGGATATGATCGGTCGCTTCCTGATACTCGACGACTGTGCCCTGCGGTGGCCTGTTCGTCAGGCTCATCTCGGTATGGCTCGTGGACATCATCCCCTTCCGGAAGCAGACCAGGCGGGGGTGCCCTTGCGCTGCGAACAACTTCGAACCCTTTGCCGCTTTCTTTAGTCTTCCCTCGGAACAGATTGCGGAAGAAGCCGGTGGCAGACGATACAGGTCCAGTAGGATCTGCAGGGCCAGTCTTCAGCTTACGCGTACCACTTTGCGACAGTGGCGGACCCCGGACACGGTAATAGAAGTCGACCTCGCGCACAGCGTAATCTTTGCGGGACTGTCGAGGATCATCCAGATCGAGATCGTCTTTCGGCGCAGGAATGTAGGCTGGCACGGGTGTGCCACGCTCAGACATGGGACCCTCCATTATATCATCTTCGGCGTCACTGCCTGCTCGTTGCCGACCGCCCGTTCTACCTTTCTCTCCTCCACTCATATCCACTCTCTTATTGCGAGGCCTTGGAGGTCGGTAATACGGGTCGTGCGGTTGCATGGCGAAAAGGGGACCGCTTTTCGGAGAATTACTTCCTGTTGTCTGGTAGCCTGCACCCTGGAAAGTAGGGTTGCTACTAGGCGTGGTGGGTGTAAATAGCCCACTGCTATTGGCTCGACTATGGGTACCTCCATGGGCACTGCCCGACTCGTAGAAGGCGCTGGTTCTGCCCTCACTCGCGGCTGCCCGATTAAGAAGCATTGCTGAACTTCCCGAAAGGCTTCTGGGCCGTGACCCGTCAAACTGAGAAGACAGTCGCCCGTCGGTGTGTGCTAGCATCGCAGCCTCAGAGCCCATGCTTTGGCGAGTTCCAACACTCCGTCTTGGCGTACGCCGCGAGAGTTGCCGCATACCGAATACCTAGATCATTGTCAGTGTAGCACTCAGACGAGAAGAGCTACGCTTGGAAAAGAAGGAGTCCATAATACTGTACATACCTTGACGAGGCCACCACGGGTAACACCACCTTCATAGCCTCCAGCACCGGCGAGTCGAGCTATAACTTCAACCAAAGTTTGCAGGGCGTTCAAAAAGAACCCAAAAACTAGAACGACTGCGTGTAAGAAGAGGATAACGTAGCCTATCCAACCGCGAGCAGCCTGAGACACGCCTAAAGAAGGGACAAAAACGACACTTAAGAGGATGGTGAGAAACCGCACAATCGAGAAACAGGCGTGATAAAGGTTCATAGACGTCGGCGAAGGAAATGGGCGGAAAGCAACAAGCGTCAAAATGGCAACAACTTCACAAATCGCCAGGAGCACTATTTGAGCAATCCCTGAAGGTTGAAGTGCACCAATGGCGACGCCGCGGGCAAACGACAGGAAGAGAGATACCACAGTAAAGGCGGCCGCATCATCGCAGAAAGTGTTGTACAGTGGACCATACAACAACACTGTCGGTAGATCATCGAAGAGGTACGATTTGGGACGCGTACTCGCAATCAACCGAATGACCCAGATTGCAAAAGCTATCATGATGAGAATGACCACGACGGCTAGAGCCACAGAGTATGCTGGGGATTGTCTAGCGATAACCAGTTGGAAAAAGGAGAGTGAAATGAGCGGTAAGAATAGATAATTACAGACGATTCGAATGACGTTGCCAACAGTGAACGGCATATTCTTAGAACGTAGGTCTTCTTCGGGAATATTGGCAAGTTCACGATGAAGCCATCGACATGCAAAGGCGAGCTGGATGATAAGCGTGATCGCGACAACAACCGCGAGTAACCATATTATCATCCCCGGCCAGATGTCCCGCGCCGACTCCATTCCAACATATTGTTGTAGAGCGTCCAGCCCGTAGGTGCCGTTCACAGTGTATACACCATCCTTTACAGGATTCCGCTCATTCCCGGGACTTAGAAAGCTCTGGTTAAACATGAGGGTCGACCACGCAACCTGACTCACCACCGGTTGATAATAACCGGGATAGTTAAGCGACAATGCTCCTGTCAACACCGCGAATTGCATATACTGTAGGCAGTCCCCAAACCCTGGTGTTACCAGGCGAAGGACATCTTCATCGCGGCCATAATTGCTTGTCCAATGAAAGGGGTCCGTGGTGCCCCATGGACTATATATTGCAGCGGTTACAGTCGCGACCCCCACGAGAATCAGGATGACAAGGGGCACATAAGCTAGCGCGCTTTTCAGGGCCGATCCAAGGTCTGGAGTGACATCAACCGATATACATCCCAGCTCAGTGGCCGCTGCATCGCCAGACTTGATTAAGAGAGTTGACGACAGGGTTGCAAAGCGGTACGATGAAAGCATGTCATGTTGGACAGAGAAAGAGCGTAAAGAACTCAAGTCGCTCCTAAGAGTATTTACAACGTCTAGTTAGTCAACAATGTTTTGGACAGAAGGACTTAATACTCACGCATTGGCGTAGAAAACAGGTCCCAGCGGGCATTCTCCTTGGATGGTAGAATCACAGAACCTAGTTGGACCAGAGTATGGGGAGAAGCTAACCACGTCAATAGTCGTTATCAGAGTACTGTATCTATTGTTG